CTAAATAAGCAAAAGAAGAAAAAGTCTTCCCAACAAAAGCTCAAAGAAAGATATAAGAATAAAGACCCTGAAGTTAATCTCTTTGGTAAACCTTCAAGAAAGTTTGACTATTATGTCATTTATCCTAAAAATGAAAAACTCCCTCAAACTTGTAAAACCCAAATCACACAAAAACCAAATTCCACTCAACCATTGCTACAAATAACCATGATGCAACCAAACTACCTAAGATAGTCTTACGACTTAGATTTCCCTCATTTCTAAGAATTTCAAAAAGTCCAATACAAACACGTTCCAAAAATCCCAAACCCCACCGACAAAGATGAATATGAAAATTAAAAAAAATGTTTCTCATGCTGAAGCAATTTAAACTAGCAAACTGAAACTTTCTAGCATAATGCATACCTGTACAAAATAGAACACAAGTTGGACCAAGTCAATCATCACTTTGATCAAAGTCTTGCTAATATTCAAAATATTATTCTTAAAATCCAATCAAAGATAATAACTTTAGATCAAGAGCTCAGATACATAGTTGAAACTAACACTAGATTCACTTATGTTTTTACTGAAAGAAAGAGAGAGATGAAAAACTTAAAGATTCAACTTATAGATCTTCAGAATAAACTTCGTTAGAAACAACATGCAGCCTCTACCTATAGTATCTTCACTCCAATCAACACTGAAATGCATAATACCCCTTACCAAGCTTATACCCCTCCTCTTTTTTATCAACCATACAATCATCCAACCTCCCCCAAAACCTTTCACTCTTTTTCGGTATAAACCCCTTCTTACATCCATACCAACATCTTCACAACCAAAATAATACTTCACTCCTATATCAGACCAACTAGAACAACCTCCTTTGGCACAACTAAAAAATAAATTCAAAGATTTCAAAAAAAACATGTTGAGCCAAAACCAAAAACAGTTGGAGAACAAACACTTTCTCAACCTCTAAAACCAAAACCAAGCTCAAGTTTTACACCTCAAAACCATACACCTCACATAGACCAAAAACCTGTACAACTTATGATCTTCCCTACACAAAACCTTCCAGAAATGATTCACCAGATGGTACAAGAAAATCTCCCTTAATTTTCTTTTAAAGATATTTTTTCTTCTACCTTTGAGATTGAATCTCAAATAAAGACTATTGAGTTAGCTAATACAGATGATACTAATGATTCAGATGAGTCAAAACTTCCTCAAATCTTAATGACAGAACCAACAATTGAAGTTTTAGAAGATAATCCAAAAGTACACAACCTTGATGCAATGGACATTGAACAATACCCTCTTCTACAACAAACACATGTTCCTTCTCTATATCAAAGTTTTTAGTCTTTATAATTGATGACATTCCTCGTTCAAAATGACCTTCAAGGCTCTAAAAATTCTTAGCATAGGGATTAGTTGAACTAAACTTCAATCTTAATGTTACGATGAACACAGTCTTGATCAGATTTGTTTCCATAGTGGTTGGCACTCTAAAAAATTTTTGGACAATATTAGTGAATACAAACAATTATAATTTCTTCAATGTCCAATCATCACAGAAGCTGTATTTCAATTTTTAACAATATTTTGTAGCCAAAAAACTCAAATTGAAAAAGATAAGAGAATAATTTTTCAAGTTAAAATGTTATTCTTTCCATCCAAAAGATCTTGACAGACACTATCAACAGTTTTCTCAGTATTTTTACATACTTGATGGATTTAATGATGTCAACTTAAAGCAAACATTTCTAAACTTTGTTCCAAAAAAACTTGCACAACAGACAAGAACGCAACTAAACCTTAGATCTCTTTATGTTAGAACCATGAACCTTGGATATATTTATAAAATGATGTTAAAAGCCCTTGACAAGATTTGCAAATAGCATAGATACATTAAAATCTTGGTGAACAACTCCAAAAAGTTAAAAAAACCATGTTCCTACTCTTCCTCTAAACTAATACCTGTCGCTGTGTACGTGCCAAGACTCTAGTAACTGATGGCTTCAATTCTGAGCTCTCCAAGTGGTAAAGTCATGACAATACTATATGATACTATTTCAACAACGTGCGAATCAATTGCTCTATCAAGATAATACCAAACATAAGTAATCCATAGATCAGACATATAACTAAATATTCTAGTCGGTGTTCAAGACTTGCGCTTTCTTGACTTAACGTCAAACTGGTGGCTTAACTTTTATGAAAATATATCTTTCACTATAGTAACTTATTTTAGTATGATCTTGGTACAGTAACTTTTTTTTGGCTGAAAGAGTGAATCAATGATCTATTTGATAATTTTACAATAATTTTTAATACAAATGATCCACAATACTATTGCAACTATAGAACATACTCAACTTATATCACTATAAATTATGAAATAGATAAAAGAACTATGAATCTGAAACTTTTAACTATAAAAGAAAGATGAAGGAATTAACAAAAGAGAAGAGTTTTTAGCCAGACATATTTTTATAAAAAAGATTTCTTACAAGAGAAGATAAGATTAGAAAAACTTAAAAAATTCTAGCTTGTTCATTCTAAGAGAAAGAACTTACAATTTATATAAAAAAAAGTAAAAAAATAACGACCTAATAAAATGAAATCATGATTAAAGTTATAACTTTATAAGTGACTTGACATAAAAGTATTTTAATAAAGCAAGTTTAAAAAAGTAAAGATGACTAAGCAATAATATAGCATAAAGTAGACTAAACATAAAGTTGATTAGACATAAAATAAATATAAAGTTGATGGTGAGTTGATGAGATGTCAACATCAATTTTGGAGTCTTTTGGAGAGCATTATCACACATAATTATACATAATTGGACTGGAATAAAAAATTTTTCGTTTGGAGCACCATGAGTAAATTTTTGATTGGATCATTTGTATGAGCTACAAGTGTGTTTTGGAGAGAGATTAAGGTGAGAGTTATCTATTCCTAAAGTGAAATCATAACCTAAATTTTCTAACCATTGATCTGAATTAAAATCTTCATAAGGGTCCCGTGATTCTTCTCAATCCATTTCTTTGAAAACTTTAAGAGGTTTTCAATAAGGATTCCATTCTATTGGTCTTGCATGGTCAAATTTATATTTTGTAGTTTCAGAAAAAGATTCTATTCATGTACCATCAAATCTGGTCCTATAAATCTTCTTATCAATCTTAAGCTGATAATTGTGTTCTGAATAATAGTTTTCCCATGAAACATCATCTTGAAGCTCTGGCCAATTTTGCTTATGAATCTTGTGATTCATTTTACAAATCTATCTCTAGAATTCAATATATTCAGTAGGATAATCAAAAAGAGAATCTAACAATGAATAACCTTATGAGCTATAAATTACCACATATGAAAAATACTGAAGTTTAGCTACTAAATAACTGCATGATCTGTGAAAAATCAAAATAATGTGAGAATCTGAAAAAAATTTTGTGTATTTCTCACAGGTTTCTATCCATTTGATCTCAATTAGAATGAATCCGAACTATTACAAGAACATTTTGAGATATTGATGACTAAAATCCATATGATATCTTTTAGGATTAATGGTTGATTGCTGAAAAAAATGAGAGTATTTTGAAATGTAAAAGTGAGAATTCTACAGCAAAAGAAAAGATGTCTTCCAATCGAAGATTAAACTAATATTAGTATTGATTTTCAAATCAATCAATCCAATCAATTCAAATGACCAATCCAATATCAACTTTTTCTTTAAAATATTTAGTGTTAATATTAAATGTATATATTTTTGCCAATGCATTAAATGCATAGAAAGTGTATTATTCATTATTGCATTAAATAGTGATTTTTATTATTTTCGTTATTTTATTTAAAAGTAAATAATATACTTTGAATTAAATTTAACTGAAATGAACACGATGCTACAAGTTTATTTTAGTAGTGCAAAAAAACTTATGTCATAAAAGAACAGTTGGAAATATAATAATTTGAAGTTAAAACCTTAAAATAGTTAAAAAAAAACTAAAAACAATAGATAATGTTTAAAAAAGTTCCAATTGTGTTTAATTATCCTTTTAATATTCATGCATTGCAAATATACAACAATTTAACGAAACCAACATATGAAGAGAAGATTAGAAAAAAAAAAAAGTAAGCTAACAAAAAGAAAGATTAAAAAAAAAAAAGTAAATTCATGAGAAGTCAAGATTTCCTATGATTAAAACAAGATCTATACACTCATAAAACCAAACTTGAATAGTCAAAATTAAGACATTCCCCCAGGCCTTTAACTTATTTCAATGAGTAATTTCAAAGGATTTAATTCATTCATGAGCAATTGGAACCGACAACTTACAAATCTGTTAAAATGAAAGCGCAAAGAGTATAAAAATATAGGAAAATCAAATCATAATCATAAACCAAAAAAAAAAAAAGCAATCGAACACTTTCCTTCATATCAATATCTTTTTATATGAAGACTGCATAATCATCTAAGTATCAATTATTCTCAGCATTCAAAGTTAATCTATGTAATAGAACCCTTATCTCCAAAAATTGTTTTTCTCAATTCTAATAACAAATCAGCAGATAGTCATTTCAGTCTAATAGTTTCCCAAACTTTGAAAAGCATTTATAGAGTTCAATGATTAGATCACTTTTGAAAATATACCAAAAAAGAAAAAAGACTCCATTAATCCTTTCTTTATTAACATGTAAAACTAAAACAATCATAACTTCAATTATTAATCTATCTAATCATGATAATCAATGACACAGTAATAACATAATCATATAAGCTAAAAGATCTTTAAAATCACATTTCTATTTAATTACCCAGAAAATGGACTAACAAGAAGAACTCACTACTCATATTTGTAAACTTACTTCATTCATATTTAAAATTTTTTTATCAATCAATAAATTCAATTCTATTTCCACTCATTTTCTTTGATTTTTTCTTTCACTTTCTTAACAACCAAGCAACAAATTAAACCAAAAAAAAAAGTGAAAAACAGATAAAAAATTGAAAGATTCAATTCAATAAGTACCTTCGAGCAGCATACTTGAAAATTCTACCAATTTTTTGTTGATTTTAAGAATGCTTTAAAGCAAGGAAGAGCTTTCTCTTTCCGTAACATTGTTCCTATTCCCATCTCAAAACCTTTAGTTACTTAAATTTTATGAGATCAAGTATAGAATCCATATCAAAAGGAGCTTAAGCATGACAAAATGAAGCAGGATAGATCAAGCACTTTATTAAATAAAGATAACCATGATAATTAATTAAAAATAAAACACCATAAATAGTACAAATGACCTAACTCAAATTTCCCAAAAGTAAAGAAATATCATTCTCCTGCCGTGTGTGATAGAATCAACTTCCCATCACCTGTCTTAGCATAAATCCTAAAAGATTCACATATAATACATCTGACAAATGATCAACAACATTCTTGAAATTTAGTGTAATGCACAAAAAAAATATGCAAAAAGGCTTGAAAATAAGTTTATCAAACTTTTACTTCATATGGTTCCCTAGGTGATTCCTAAACCTGGTTTTCATCAATTAACTACAAATATTATATAAGTATTAATTACAAATATCTTTTAGACTAAAACAAATTTGGTGCAAATATGTAAGAGAGAATAAAAGTCCATGCAGCAACATATTAGAGCTAACAAAAAAAATTATGATAATAATGATTCATGTATAGGAAATATTAAAAATTAATCTGCATATTCGCTATAAGGTGTGAATTTCCTAATCCTCCTTACATACTTCCAAATTACAAACTATCACCAAACTCTAGTCAAATTTAAGCAGTAATAGTGGCACTATACCTTTCTTCAAAACTCCCAAATCATTGCAAACAACCAAAAAATGGGCATAAAATAACATGACATTAGAACTAAAAAGAAGCCAGATACAAATTAATCAATGATAGCTAGATATCATGAGCACCTCAAACATTAGAAAGAATTCTTATGAATACTATAGACATTACTAGGAAAGTATGTATGAGAATACTAAATACACATTGTATAAAAGAACCAAAATTGGTTTATGCCAAAATGTTGTAACAAAAAACAAGTATCAGATTTGTAGCATTCTTGCCTTGGCTTTGGAGAAATCTGTCAACTCAATCTCAAAATGGAGTTCATCTTCTTTTAGGAAACTACTTGGAACAGGAACAGGAAGTCCTCCTCGGCATAATGCATTTCAGGTTTCATTAAAAAACTGCAAACCAAGAAGAAAACAAACCATGCTACACTTTATGAAAAAGCATATTAGAAATTGATTAAAGAAGATGAGTAACACGCTGTACTACACGGAAAAAACCAAATAAACAGAAAATTGGTTTGCACACGTTGCGTTTGAATGAAATAATGTGCAATTGACTTGAAGCTCATTTGTAATATCTGGAAGGTGGATAAAGAAGCTTAGATATAATTTCACCTTCAAAGAAAAAGGTCTAAGTAGGAACATGCACAATTGATAAACTTACCTTCCTATAAAAAGAGCCAGTAGGAGCCTATCCTTTCGCTTGCTCTACTATGGGCCGAACGTTAATTAACCAAGTTCTACTTCATTTTCAAGATGTATAATGCAAGAGAAACAGAAACAATTAAGCAAACGATATGCATGCACAGATGCAAAAACATCAATACATAACCCACATAAAAACGACCTGCATAATGCAAGAGAAACAGAAACAATTAATCGATCAACAAGAAAATGCATGTTTTAAATTTGTTAAATACAATCAATAATAAATGAAAAAATTAGAAAGAGAGATAAAGCAAATTATCAAGCTTTTAATTTCAAAACACACATGCAGATAACCTCAAAGACAAACAAATCATTGAGTAAGGCACAAGCACCAAAGAAAAAGAGAAAAAGATCACAACCCTTAAAATCAGAGGGAGAAAACCTTCACACGACGAATGATGACTGATGACTGCAAACCGCAGTAACCTGCAAATGAACAGCATTCAATTGGGAAAGTGACATCAGTGAAACATTTAAAGAGAAAAATCATCAAAGAATCCTGATTTTTTTTAATGAATAAAAAATAATAAGTAGTACAACATTGATGAAGATGGTTTAAAAATGGCCTCTTGTTGTTGGCCTCATAGCCTAAGGATACGATAGGCTTTAAATAAAATAGTCTGATGCCACATATATTCCATAAAATAAAAGCTCAAAAGAAATTGAAAAATGAAACATTTTTAAATGAAAAAAACCCAACAGAAAAATTAAGAACATTCGAAACTGTCTATGACTAATAACAAACATCCCCACAAAGATCACTACTAAATGAAACTCTTTTTATAAGCTTTTCCATCACTAGTATCTAGCCATGCTTAAATGGTAATGAATTAGGTCAAAATAGATTATCAAAGTTATAACAAAAAAGGAAAAGAAAAGATATCATATTTCTAATTTTGAAAAAGCAATTAAATAAACATCAAAGCACATCACAAAGGTGATATGAAATCTAACATTTTGATGCAAAATAAAAAAAAAAAAACAGTTACCTTTAATAGTTAATATCCTTTATTTGCTTCATTACAAAAAAAGATTTTTTAAAGACCCTTTAGAAATAAAATAGCAAGCATTAAAAAAATAAAATATTTGGTTTTGTTTAAGCAAAGAAACTTACACAAAAATGGTCAACTTAGAAACAATGACAATCCAATCCGAAAAGCATCAACATTCGCTTTTCCATATATTCTAAATATGCTAATTAATTAGTAGGAATAAAATTTTCACATAGTAAGTATGCAATTATAAGGAAATGTCCAAAGTCTTTCAATGCCATTATGCATACTTCATGTGCTATAGAACTTAAAATTAAAAACCCAAAATGAAAAAAAAGAAAAAATAACACAACCTAAATCAATGTTGATTGAGAGATATAATTAATAAATGCACGTGGATCCAAATTCTAGATTCCCCATCACCATACACTTCGATCTGAATAAAACATATATTGCAGCACATATTTTATATTAAGACAGCTTGCGCCTGCTGTAATGTTTCATGGCTTTTCAATATAAAAATTAAATATCCGACAATTTAAAAAGAAAATAAAAATACTTTAACACAGGAAAACATGAAGAAACACAAACCTCCTGCTCCAATGCTGCCAATGCTCTAAACCAATGAGCCAGCAAGTTACATGTTATGTATGGAACCTTGATGAGGTAAAATATTCTGTAATTTTTATATTCAGGTATTACAACAGCGGTTTTTCTAAAAGAAAAAGGTTCATATTAAAAAAATAAGAAATCTCATAAATCATCAATCCTGCTTCAATTTTCATTGATAAAATTTTAAAAGAAACTGAAAAACAGAATTTAAGGGCTCAAACCTTAATCTTTTTAACAAACCAACCAAATCATTCCATGCAATAATCAGTCTTAGTTAGATTAACCTTCAAACCTTAAATCACAAAAAAAAAAAAAGGAGAATCAACTAAAATCCTCTTAAAAATCACCAATAAAAATAAGAATAAAAGAATTATAGAGACAAGATCAAACAATTATCAAGAACCAACCCAATCACTCCATGCAATAATCAGTCTTAGTTAGATTAACCTTCAAATCCTGAATCATTAAAAAAAGGAGAATTAGTTAAAGTCATCTTAAAAATCACCAACAAAAATATGAAGAAAAGAATACAAAGACAAAATAAACAATTATCAAGAACAAAAAAAAAAGAAAAAATAACCTGAAAAAATAAGAAAAAGCATAGAAAAAATTAAAAGGAAATTTCAAAAAAATAAAATGTTCTCATTGAAAAAGCAAGCCAAATTGGTGTGTTTAGGCCAATTTTGAAAAAAAAAAAAAAAGAAATGGGATATAAATGAAATAAACAACAATATATATATAGATATACAATATATAACAATCTGCGTGTTGCTACAATCTTTCATTTTCTTATATAATAATCTATATTAAAATAATCAAAGATTTATGTATAAAAGTAAAATAATAACATGCTTAGCATACTTATATAAATCTATAAATGTCTTATCACCAGTGGTCCATCTTTGGTGTTCCATCACCAGTTTTTCACCAGTGAAGTGTTCAACCAATCCTTACATTTCAAAGAAACTAAATTTAGAGCCCAAATAATCAAATGGAAAAATAGTACACATAAATTGTATAAGATAAAAAAAAAGGAGAAAAGAGAACAATAGTGTTTAGATTACTATTATTTGTATAATCTCAACAGTCATGAAACCCAACTCTCAAAGCAGCTACCCATGTGTTGTTGAACATATAGGTTTTATCAATAGCATCCTCTCCAAAATATCCAACAAACCAACATCTTCTCGTATGCAGCTTTGTTTACATCTTTGTAAGAACAACTCCTATTGGAAGTGTTATTATAGTACATAATATGAAGGAAAAAAAAAAAAAAAAAACTATTTATGTTGTCCATGACAAAGAGATGACAAAATTTTAACTAAACCACAATCAATGTTCTTTGCATTTTAAATTTTGGAAAATTCACACTTTTGTTTATGTTCACATAGTTGTACCTAAACGTTGGCAGCATATAGATATTCCATCCAATGTTGTAACCCAAATCACAAAATATGCATAAATGCAGCAACTGTGAATAGAAAAAGTACGATAAATTCTTATGATGTCCCATAGAAGAAGCATGCTAACTGTATACCTAATTATATAGGAAAATCTAACATAAACAACTCAATTAAGAAGAAAAAGCTATTCAATTATCAATCTCTAATCCTATATCCCTCTCTTAGTCTTGAAAATTAGACATTTGATTGATAGTCATGCATTACTTTCACGTTAGGTGAAGAGTGATGATGAAGACCACCTGCATGCAACTAAATATATAATCTTGAACCACAGATAGAATCATAGAAGGCACAACAGAAAGAACATCACAGTTAATATTGAACAAAATGTTCTTTAGAAACCATTGAGAGGTTTCTGATGTTAAGGCCTCTTTGAACAAAGCAGGCAAGCAATATGAAAAAATTGTTTGATATGACTGACTGACATACATAGAAATTTTTCTTTCTTTCATTTCACGAGAATGCTGCAGAACTTTCAAATCTGATGCATTAATTAATTTATAAGCCAGGCAATGATAAGGGCTCACAATTTCATTAAAGAACTTTTTTTTTTTTATGAATCCTTAAAGAACATTTTAAATTGTAAGAGTATCAAATAAAATTTAGCAAAAACTTAATGCTAACCTGGTATTGCTCTACCAAATATAGCTGCAAGTGCTGTGTACATGTTCTCAGTGTCTTTAGGTTGAAAATAAAAAACAATGGTCTACACATAATTTTCCGACGACATTAGTAAATAGAGATTGAATATCCCTACAATTTTAACTAAATATTATAAGGATAATAGAGAATAGTAATTGAAATTATTGTACATCCTAAGTGTCCACTGACATACATAGAAAAATATACCATATCCATACATAGAAAACTTCACAAGCATATCCATTCTCCAAGATTATGATTAAACTAAAAATTATACCATCAGAAATAGGATGGTCAGAAATCAAACTTAGAACTGCAATACTTTAGTTGAGAGTAATCACAATTGGAGCTGTGCCAATAAATAATAGGATCGAAAGTCTCACAATCTCTTTAATAAAAAGTTAAATAACTGCCTAAAGTTGAGAGTCATATAATGTTGTAGGACCATAACTATTTACATCTTCATTTACTGTAAAAAAAAAAAAAAAAGCAGTTTGTTCAGATTGACAGTATTACAGTAGATAGTGATAAGTCAGATCAATGACTGAAATATCAATTTTAATCTATCTGGAACTAAAGTATCAATATTCAGATACTTTTGCGATCTGGAAATTATAAATGGGATTTGGAGTTTGAGTGCTAGCCTTAACTAGTAGTAGTTATCCAAGCAAAATTGGAATCTCTTACATTCTCAACAGGCATGAATCATGACAGAAGCCGCCGACAACAGCAATGCTGATAATTGAGTAAGGCAACGTCTGCATTTAGAAAAGAAAAAGAAAATCATATTGTTTAATTCTGAAACAATTGATGATTACAGACCTTATTTTCTGATGCATGTCATTAGTAACATAGAGACATGTATGTACGTACATACATCAAGAAAGCAGAAAAGGTATTTGTATTAGTATTTGTCGGTTTTAGTGATTGAGAGAAATTGGTTGCTTTGAATTCAATCCTTATTTTTTGTTGTGTTCACTTTTCAGTCTTGTAAAAATGTGAAAAAAAAATTTTTTTTTTAAAAAGAAACAATTAGGAGATATTTCAGCGCATGCTCAACAGATACATAAACCAGAATACATGTATAAATGCAAAACATTTTTAGCCAAGTCTAGGTGATAGACCAGATATATTTTTGGGTATAAAAATTATGCAGACAATCCCAAAAACTTAACCAACCAAACATAAAAGAATGAGAAACAAAAGATCTAAAGTAATATAGGTATGCAAAAGTAAAAAAAAAAAAAAAAAAAAACCAAAAACCAAATTCATCAAAAAATCAAAATAAGAACAAAAGTATCAAATTTTCAAAAAACCCAGGTTCCAAAAACCAAAAGAAAAAAAAAAGTGAAAAGAGCAACAACCTTCAGAGATGGCATTTTAATGTATCTCTGGCCCCCGCAGAAGAGTTAACTGGTACTGTTTCTTGAAGATCTGAATATGAAGCTATTGAAAAACATGACAGTAGAGCAGATGCACCCATTTTTTCCCTTCCAAGGGTAATCTAACAAGAAATAGAGAAACAAAAAAATAGAGAAGTAAATGATAACTCTGTCTTTTGTCATTCTCGAGCCTTATTCCCATGGAGTACCCTTTTTAGTTTTTATTGAACAGGTGTAAGGCATGCCCTCCTGTTTCTGCTTCAATTTTGTTTCTTTGCCAAATTTAATCATCAATTTTTATTTAAGACATTGCTGAGTTCTATAGGTAAAGACAATTTGGGAATAATTATATATAGAGGTATAGATATCAATATTTTTTCAAATTATTTTTTAATTAATTATCATTTTTCTTTATACTTAACTTAAAGTTATTAAAATTTCAATCATAAATTTAATTGAAAATGTATTACTCTTGAATAAACTAATAAAAATCTTTACTACTAATTTTTTAAGCAGTCAAAAAATATTTGGCCAAAAATACTCTCTTTGATTAAATGGTTGGAGTTTTAATTTATTTTTGGAGGGGAATGGTCAGAGTTTTAATTAACTATCCAATTTTAACCTCAAAATTAGTGTAAACCAACTCAAAAATTTTCCAATTAAATCAACTAAGAAGTTGACCTGCGGTAGACTTCACAGTTGTTCGACTTGCCAAACTGGATCGGACCTGTCACTGATTCTCAATTCAACGAGTTCCTTTTTTTCAAATAAAGCCTACAAAATCCTACATAAATAATGGACCTTCACCTAACAGCTTATCAATTCTTTATTGTGCTATGAAAACTTCAGCATCAATGTACCGGGGAGCACCATAACAGCTGGAATGAAATATATAAAACAAAACTTTGAACCCATTTCATTTTCTCCAATTACAGAATGTTGACTTAGCAGAGTGGCCCTCCCCACCTCCTGAATTGACATTGACTTTTTTTGGTCTTTAACTGCTTTGAAAATATCAATCCTAACTACTAAAGTTCTGAAAACTTGGTAGCATTGAGTGGAGATATAGCAGCAGGGAAAATAACCACTGCATGTCAATAATTTTACTAAACCTAGCACCGAGCATCAAGCCATTCAATAATATCATTAAGAACAGTATAGATTCTGTCATCAGGTTCCCCTTCCAGAATGCAGTGATAGCCTTCTTCATACAGCTTCAGGGTTTTGTCCTTGCTCGAAGCATTTTCGTAAAGAAACTGGCTTACTAATGGATCTGTCACGTTATCTGCAGCTCCATGAAGAATCAGCAGTGGGGATGAAACCTACAATACTCAGGAATTAGCTCAAGTTTTCTTTGTTATATTATTAATTGTTTCTATTTCAGATAATACAATGAAATAGCCTCCTGCTGTAGACAATTACAAATAAAAGGGCAAATAAAACTAATTAATCAAAACCAACCTTCTCCATTTGCATCTCAATTTCTTTGGTAGCCTTTAAGAGTTCAACAGCAGTTCTCAATCGCACTCGATCATCATAAGAGATCACATTGTAAACAGCCTGAAAAAGAGAAAGAATAAAAAATCATTTCTCAAGTCATATCCAAAACCATTGAAATAAAATGTAGTTTCCGGTTTTCTCCTTTCAGGGGAAAAATTCCTGTTTCTTTTTTCTCAAATTTTCTTTATTGATGATTAATGATGAACCGTACGAGCTATATCATTAATGAAGAAACAAGTTTGATGAATATTCAGAGATGGTGATGTTCTATACACAGATTGATAAGGGTCATTCTCCAAGTTTTAGCTTTGGCTGATATTGCTACTTTATCAAAAAATGTGATAGAAGACCTGATGTGAAATCAGAGCAAAAAGACCTCTTAGTATCTGACAAGCTGGCTTCAATACGTCAAATTCTAGCTCCAGGTCAATTTTCAGTCATTTAACTCTATAAGTTAATTCATTTCAGGGTTGAATGAAGGAACACTGACTGACCATCTTCTGTTTCCTTGGCTCTCGGAACATCAGTTCAGCTAGATCTTTCTGTGGGACAAGCTTTGCTGTTGGCATAACTTTAGCCAGAAGGGTCAAAAACTTCAAAACTGGTTCTGAAGGAGTCACATCATCTTCAATCTTAGCGGCAACAAAGTTTATGTCAAAACAAAATGTTCCAAATACAGAATGTGAACTTCAGAAGTCTTTTAAAACAGCTGAACAATTCAGATATAGGACATGATTTTAACATCATCTATGTCAGTTCTGAAACACAGATCTGAATATGCCGTTACCATAATTATTTGACGATAATGTGATGAAAATGCAATGGAATGCAAGCAAATATCCTCAGCGACATGCAAACGCATGAAAACTTATGATTTGCACAGTCTGTCTACATTCAATGCCAAGTCTTGTTGAATTAATAGGGGTTCTTCACAATAGAATAACGTTTGCTTTGTCAATTTTCTAATAACAGAGCATTTCTCAGGCTATTCAGTCAAGTTTCCATGCAAGGAGCCACATACTTCAGACAAAAGGTAGGCAAAGTACATTTCAGTGATTATTAAGACCACGGTAGCCAAGAGAAAATTTAGTAAAACCAAACATATGACAGTATGATTAGTCTCAACATACAGGTAGCTTCGACTAACAAGTCAGAAGTGCTATCGGTTGACCCAGTGGTGGGGCCTGTTGATGGGTGCCTTATGACCCCAACCTGACAGATAGTTTAAGTGTTTTGGCTATGCCAAAACAGAATAGAATGCCCTTCATAGCTATAAATATGGAAATAACGAGGAAAGCAGAGACTGCAGAGCTACAATCTCCATTCTTTTACTGCAGTTCAGTCTTTTGTCGAATGTAGTGAGACTGAGGACTAAAAGCTCCTGATCATATTTTTGCAGCCACAATTACCCACAAAATTCCCCCTGAAATCATATTAAGGTTTCACTTTCTACAAGCAACCACATGTTTCTTTCTTTCCACTTCAATTTCAAGGGGTTCAGGACAATCAACCGGCAATGTACGTTCAGTGACTTTTTGGATAGTGTTCTTCATATATGGACCAATTTATACCTTGTAAATAACTTGTCAATCATTTACTCTAGAGCCTATACGAGATATCTCTTCTTCACTAAACCTATACTTTTCCGAGGACAAAGACTTGATACAATGCAAAGAATGAGTATGTTTTAGCCTTCAAGCTTAACAGGTACAGGTTAGCAATTATTTTTGCTCTTTCTTTTTGTAAGTTATAGATTACGATTCACTAGGTACCAGAGTTGGAATATATTTTAATTGAAGTTCACCAGAAAGACCAAATCCCGGATGATCAATAGCATAAACCCCATAGCCAGATGCGGCAATGAACCTAGCAATGCCTGTAATCCCAAATTCTTCATGCATCAAATAAAGTACTTGGACATGGCTCAACTACTGAAACAAAGTACAACATAAGCCCTAGAGATATGGAGTAATTCAAATTACTCTATGAAGGGACATGATCAACTAACCTTCAAAGAAGAACGTGCAACTATCACCATATCCATGGCAAAAACATACAGCACCTTTAATTTTCATCCTTGGTTCTGGCATCCAGCTTCTAAAGAAAATCTCCAATACCTTTGAATTCCTTTCAATCCACTACAAAACCTCTAAACAACATAGTTAAAATTCAAATAATTAAGCATTTATAATGGTGAATTTAAGAAACAAGAAACCCTTTTTTTTCTTGTAAGATTTGATCCGTATTATTAGAACTTGAATTTTTTATAGAAAATTGTGTTATTATTTTAGTCACTTACCACCCTCTAAAAATCTATTGGATTCTTTTACCCAGAATTTATAGTTTCTGAACTTTATACCTTCATTTCATTTACAAAGCAACTGATTCTAGTACGTTGAGCTACTTTCTCTTCTTTTCTTCAATTTCAGTGCAAACAAACAGATCAAATAAAATAAATAAATATACAAACGCTTACCTCGTCTGTTATTACACCAGGAGGAGCCATCTATCGCCAGTTTCATATTCCCCCGCCCCCCCAAAAAAAAGAAGGATAAAACATAAATATCAGTTACTATTGCTATCCAAAAAGCTAAAAAAATTCAGTACATGAAAGTGCTAATTTAGCTACAATGGTTCCAAGTCAAACAAACCTTGAACAAGCAATGATCAAGTTGCTGCTGCACTTCCATGAAAGCAGATCGAACTCTTCTACGAGCAGAAGCATAGTCAAGATTCAGTGAAACAATCGAGTTCAACTCTTCACTGACTCCCTCAATCTTCTTCTTCTTCTTCTTCCGTGCAGCTGCTTCGACCGTTAGGCGATGAGTTCCCTGAAGTTGAAGGGCTGGTGTGGGAGAAATGATGGGTATCGAGAGCTTTGGTGGATGAGTGGATGAAGAGTTGCGTTTAGGGGGAAGGAAAGGTGATCGGGATCTGAAAGTCAGAGAGAGCTCCATGGTTTATGGCTTAGTGGGATTGGCGGTGAACTGTGGGACTGGAAGGGCTGTCCATGGTTAGAAAGACTAGTGTTACACTTACGATGAAAAATGCAAGCTAACCCAATTTGCTGTCAACTTCAACTATTGCTCGTGGTCCACGGGCGCCTTATTTTATATGCGGTCAAATATATGTAAATTCTTTTCATAAATTACCAATTACATTGATTGAGTCTGTGAGATTTAAATATTTTTAAAGTTGTTATTTTTTATGATTTTAGAATAAAAAACCTCTCTCATTTTAAATTCTTTCCCAGAATTAAAAAGAATTTTTTTATAAATTTTGATCTTGATTTTTGAATTACGAATGGAGATACTATAATTTTTTATTTATAAATTTAGTTTCTTCCATTTTAAAATTTATAATTTCAAATTCTATCCATTAGAAAAATATTTTTACTACCAAAAAAATTGTTCTTTTTTATTATGAATTTTTAAAGCCGTTCTACTCTTCCTATTTTAGATTCCATCCAACGCTACTAATTACAAGATCTTATTTTGGCGGAAAAGAAATTATGTCTTGAATTTGAATAACCCTCTAATGTCGAAACACACTCATCCCGCTAAATCAATGTTCGTTGGCTAATATGAACTTTTAGGATGGGAGGGAAAATTTAATTTTTTTTTATAATTTATAATTTATAATTAAGAATAGAGAATGTTATGATTAAAAGAGACTATGAATTGTAGCAAGAGATATTCTTAATTTCTAATTTTGAAAATCCTAAAAATTTCATTAAAATAATTAAATTAAAATTAAATTCAATAACCAAATTTCAAATATTCATAGAAACTGTATTAATAGATCAAATATACATAACGATTTGAATAATTTAAACAACTATAATATATTTCAAATAAGTAGGTATTTTAATTGAAATTAATGGTTATCAAATTTTCACCTTTAAATGCATAGCTTTTTTTTTTTTTTTTTGAAGTTTAAATGCATAGCTTTTCATTAAGGGGGAACGCAAGGAAAAAAAAGGGAGTGGAAAGAAAATAGTGTTTTTTCTTTTTTCTTTCATTTGATAGGAAAGAAATGAGTAAACAAAATAAATAGATGGATTTACATTTTTTCTTTCTACTTAAATTGGGAACACACACTCTTTTCACTTAATTACACATTTATTTATAATTTTATCCTATAAATTTTTTTATTTTTTATTTTTCATCATTCTTATCAAATACAAAAAATTATTTTTTCTCCTCTATTTTTTGTTTTATTATTTAATTATTATTTAATATTTAAAATTATTAAAATTTGAATGCTCATAAATTAAAAATATAATATTTTACGAACAGATTACACATTGAACTCTTTTTATGTTTATTTTTTCCTATCAAATATAGTGTAAACGTGTGTAAATATGATTAATTATTAGTTAAGTGTTTACATTTATCAATTTTGATTTTTTTTATTTGTAACTTTTATTTACTCCTCATAAATTAGAAATTCCATAATCTTAAAAATCTACCTAAATCTTTGTGGTATTGTATGGAAAGTGATTGATTTTTCATTGAGTAGCTGAGTGCTAATTGATTGAGATTATGGTAGCTAGCTGGGGTTTTGGTTCTATTCGTCCAAATAGAGTGGTCGGTGCATATGGTATTTTAGAATAGCAAAACTCGTTACTAAAAACAATTGCAAAAACTTGTAAACCGACCAAAATTAGAAGGAAAAAAAAAAGACAAAGTAGATTATTATTTCCTCTTCAACTTAAATTGGATTTTGTTTCCGGCTACGAAAAGATTTGATTCCACTCTAAATGTTGCCTTGTCTCATTCCATCGACAGATTAGGAGTTAGCAACAAAGAAAGAAAATCCAAAAGGTAATAATAAAGTAGGAGACGGCCTTTCCTTTCCACCCACCGGGTGTTTCGAAGCGCTTTCAGCCATAAACTACTCCGCCAAGAAAGAAAAAAGGTGTGTACAGGATTTTCTCACAATATATACATATATATATATATCGCAATTTTCAAAATAATGTAAATTTCATAAGCTCCTGACATCATCAATCAAATTCGTTGATGTGTTTAATAAATCATTCAAAATTAAAATTTTAATTATTTAATTTTTTAATGTATATGATACTTCATTTTTAGATATCACTTAATGAAACTTTTTGATAAAATGTTATTGAAAATCTTAAGTAATTAAAAGTTAATTAATGACAATATTTTATATTGTATGAGATAGCAATATTTAATTTTTTTTATTTTATATTGTATTTATTCAGTTATATTTCAGTTTATTGGTTATTTTGTTTATTTAATTTAATTGATTGATTTTTTATATGAGATAGCAATATGTAATTATGATTATAAATTTTTCTTGTATTAATAAATTCATAAAAAAAAAAGTTATTTAATATATTAAGCCAAATTTATTCAAGACCATATATTCCTTCTTTTTTAACTTTTATTGGTGCAAAATATTTATAAAATCAAATCTTCTTTTTTGGGAAATATTTAATGAAAAATCTATTCAATATTTAATTTTTTTAGCACACAAAAGATCATAGTTTGAAAATAGAAAAAAGATTATAATTACAAGAATTTAAATTTTAAACTTATTTAAAATCAATTTTTAAAGATGGCTACATAAACCAACTAAATTAAATTTTGAATTTAATATTTAAAACTAACTAAATTAAATTTCGAATTCAATATTTAATTTTAGTAATATATCCAATAGTTTTTATATCATAAATTCAAATTTAAAATTAAAAAAAAAATTCAATATTTAAAATTTTGACTAAAGAGTTAAAAAACCCATAAAACTATAATTAAACAATCATTCAAGCTATATATTTTTTTATTGTAATCATTTAACCCGTTCAATATTTATTTGTATTTAATTAAGCCTTTAATTAGATAAAAAAAATTAACACTGTTATTTGTTTAACATTTATGATAAAATTTCATCTAACATCAATAAAATATATTAAAGTTTGACACATGATGCAATTAAGATATGTGAAAATTAAATATAATAAACTTTTTTTATTTTTTCTTTTTCTTATCTATTTTTTGTACTCTTCACTCTCTAAGATACCTTTAAGAGTTCAATTGATTATAGTTTGAAAGTTGACTGATTAAATTTTCTCACGTGATTAGATTTCATTAATTTAAGAATTTAATTGAGTCAAAATAAAATATTAAGAGCTTAATTAATTGCAATAAAATGTTAAGGACTTAAATAATTATTAAATTATAATTTAGGCATATTTTTTACCCTTTAACCTAAAATTTTCAATGTTGATTTGTTTAGTTTATCAAAGAATTTTTTTTACTCATCCTTCTCTTTTTTCTCTCATTTTATTTCCTCGATTATAACTATTCAAGCTTCATTTGGAACCACCATAGTAGTGCTGAGAAAATTTTTGAGAAAATAAAAAAATCGACATAATATAAGAGGTTATGATTAACATTTTTAAAAATTAAATTTGAATTTGAATAAATGATGTCATCAAAACTATTTAAATTGGGATTGGATTGGTTCTCATTGGATTCTAAAAAACCTAAATCAATCCAAATTAAAAAAAATAAAAAACCCAAAAAATCCAAATTTCAATGAAGCCCAAATATTCAAAGCCCCTTTACTTATCCTACTTACTTAGTATTCACTACCCAATCCAATACATTAAATTCATTAACTTATTAAGTTATTATCTTTTTTAAAATTAAAAAATAAAAACTAAACTCATCCATTCACTCCGATCTAAGGTTGTTAATATCATATGGAACAATATTTTGATTTTTGAAAAAAAAATTGTATATGTTGGTACATTTATTTTGATATATTTTTCGGATTTTTTTTGTTTGTACAAATTTATTAATAAATGTACTTTGACTTTTACATAATAATGCTACTAACAATATACAAAATAAATATGCAATACCTTCAAAGATCAAATAAATAAGTTTGAAAATATAAGAAATAATATCACCGATTTAGCATAAATACTTTTAACCACTTAATTTGATCATATATATTTAAATGAGTATTTTAAATAAGAATATATTACAATAAAAATAAAGAGATGAAAAAAATTAATCTTGGCTTTATGATTTTTAAACCTTAGAAAGGGAGTATAATTACATTTTTAAAGAGATCGAAATAAATATGAAACTTTAGTTTGAAAAAGCAAAGTGTAAAGGAAAATAAAAGTTGCACTAAAAAAATAGAGAGATGCAACTCTAGTTTCAACTTTAAAGGGTTGTTAGCACAGAGTATTGAATAAATTAAAATGAGGGTGAATTGGTTAATTAGAAATTGTGACAATTTGATTGTCAAATTAAACAATGATCATAAACATAGATTTCTAAGCAAATAAAGACAATATATGTGCATAGCTAAATAACTTGAAGAGTACGTCTAGTTTAAAGAAAAGTTAGATTACCTTTCAAAATCTTGTTTTTCATAATTTGATTCTCATCTTTGTTCATGGTATCTGATTCATAGGGTATTCTAAGATTTTCAACAATGTCCAAATAGCTCAAAATTAAAAACTTATCTCTTTCTATGATTTTTTAAGATTTCAAGGGGAAACTTAATTTTGTCCCACTTTGACCTCAACAATAAAATTTTTCAATCTATTTTACCCTTGAAAATCAATATAATTGCATGATAAATAGAAACTTATTCTAATACAAAAATGGTCATTTATAGCTACAAGATTGGGTAAAACTATAATTTTAGCCACATGATTGGACACTTGGCACACGATTAGACATGTAATAGATTACATATATTAAAAATAGCATTTTTAAAAGACCAAACTTAGCAGATAACTGCAAATTTAGGATTTTAGATTTTTTTTTTAATTTTCAAAAGCATTATATTTTTTTATATATTATGTAGTAGATCAATTAAAATAATAACAAAATAAAATAGATATTTTCATATCAACGATGTTTCTTAGTAGGAAACATAATAACTGACATAATATTATAATATTTATGATACTTTTAACTGCATATCTTATTACAAAAATGTAATATTTGATAAATAAAAAATTTATTGTATCTCAATAACTACGTTTCTTGTTATTAAAATGCAG